TTCACTTTCTTTCTCTGCTATATACAGAAGAGCTTTCCCGAAGTTACACGATGGTGACCTGGCCCAGATTATAATGCAGAAGCAAATAAGCAACCGGCTGACTACTAAGGGAGGCATTAAAGAGGTCCACAAATACATAAAGCAACGCTGCTTTACTTACAGTGCTTACTCTTAATTTGAGCTATTTTTCATGAAATATATTTATTTAGCTGATGGGGCTTTCACACCTAAAATGGGGAATCACGATCTGTGCTCTCACTGTCTCCAAACCCTTTCCCCTTGCTCCTGCTAAAATCTCCTCTGGCCAGGTTACTCTGTGACTCTCAGAGTCTGCCAAGCCCAATGGTCAGGACTCAGCCTTCATCTCACTCAACTTACCCAAGGCAGATGCTAGCTGGTTACTTCTTCCTCTTGAAGTCTTTGCCTGTAAGCTTCCTACTTTCTCCCCAATCTTAGTGTGAGACAACCCAGAGTTCAGTCACTTCCAGAAGACTAAACCCAACTTTCTTCAGCCCAATTTATTCCTCCTCTGATGTCTTCCCCATCTCACTTGATAGCAACTCCACCCTTTCAATAGCTCAGGGCAAAACTTTGCAGTCATACTTAATCCTGTTTCATACCTCATGTCCAGCCCACAGGAAATCTTAATGGCTCTGACTTTGAAAGACAAAGTTTTGCGGTCAAAGGGCTTACATTCTATTTAGAAAACACAGGTCACCCCAAATCCAACTGTGCCCCCCTGCTCCACAGTCTCAAGCCATCACCACCTTGGAACTGGATTACCAGTGACCTCCCACTTTATTCTCTCACTTTTCCCCTACAGCCTGGCACAGCTGATCCTTTCAAAGGGCCAAATGTCACAAAGTTCAAAACACATTTCACATAAAAACAAAAGCCAAAATCTCTGTCATGGCTTACAAAGCCTACTCTACTTGACTTTTAGTTACCTTTCTTTTCCTATGCTCTTATACATGACCTGTGTTTCCTGTGTCTTCTAAATAGGGAGTAAGCCCTATGACTGCAAACCTTTGCCTTTTCTGCTCACAAATGTATCATCATGTCTACAATGGTACCTGGCAAATAAGTTTTCTGGTAAGCACACTGAACAAGTAAATGGATTTCAGCTTTGTTGTCTACAAAGCTTGGCAGGGGAGTGGGGTGGTGCTCAGTGTTCTTCCCAGCTCAAGCCTGATTCTCTAACCAGTCAGATATGGCTCTCTACACGCCAGAACTATAGCTTGTAACAGTACAAGGTTCAGCTCTGGGCACTCAGACCTGGGCCCAGGGCCACAATTCTAAGTGTTCCTACCCTCTGACAGGGCAAGAAGATAGGTTATGATCAAATTGGTACCACTTTAGGGCAGGCATGGAGGCACATGCCCATAATCCTAGCAGTTAGGAGGCTGAGGCAGGAGGATTGATTTGAGTTCTAGGCCAGCCTAGACTACACAGTGAATTCAAGGCCAACCTGAACCTACATAGTGAAACCCTGTTTCAAAGAGACGAAAACCAAAACAAATTGGTACTACTTTGTGAAATAGGAAGAAATTGTTCAAAAGGAAAGGGGAACTAGGGAGGGTGAACAGAAGGGAAAAGAAAAAAATGAGAAAAGGAGGATAAAATGGAAACAAAGTTTTGCAAATAAGGAAGGGAAGAGTTGAAGAAAGGGGTGGAATGGGGAAAAAAGGAACCAAGATATACTATAAAGGTACAAATTTCCAATGATGAATGTGATCAGTATGTATATCTAAATTGTCCCAATAAGCTTAATTTACGTAAATTTCCCCTTAAGTAAGTCAATGTTAGAGCGAGTGAGATTTCCACAGTACATACAACCCAAACCTTGCCAAAGTTATTTGAAGCACCCAAACCTAGAACCCCACACTCAGCATGTATCCCACATAAACTACACCTATTTTCATTCATTTCACCACCACTCAAAATGCACACCTTGACAAGAGTTAGCCAAATTACAGCAAGGTAACTTAACAGAATGTCCTTTTAATGGTACAGGCTCAGGATCCCACAGACTGGGGCAAACAGAAAACACAGGGGCTTCTATGTACCTCCTCCCTTGAGGATCTCTCCCTTCTCACATAGAAAGTCACTGCTGGCGATGTCATAAACTGTTTGAGCACTGGGGTGGAAGTGTTGGGACAGGTGAACAGAACACTTTCCTTCCCTGCCCCAGGTGGAGATTTCCTCTGGTACCTATGACCCCACTCTTAACTCCTAAGAGCACTTCTGCCTCTGACTTAGCGTCTCTCCTCTGAGATACACCATCTTCTCCTGTTCCCACCTTCACAGCCTCAGCCATCCCACCATGCATCCTCCTTAGATCACCTACCTTGAGGGATGTGCAGTTTGTTTTAGACACCACACTACCTTGGTCAGGAAATTCACACTTAACTGCTCTCATTTCAAACAACTTCCCTCCCTTTTTGGAGCATGTCAATTTTGGGTTAAAGGACCATCTGGGGGGGAGGTTTCCATAACACCCACATATACTTTTTAGAAGTATTTCTATTGATGAATTATTAATTTTAAGAGAATTATTAATTTTAAGAATTTTATTATATTAAACAATGTGAGCTGGGTGTGGTGGCGCATGTCTATAATCCCAGCACTTGGGAGGCTGAGGGAGGAGGACTGTTGCGAGTTCAAGGCCAGCCTAAGCTACAAAGTGAGTTCAAGACCAGCCTGAACTGCAAGGCTGTGACCCTGTCTCAAAACGACCAAAAAAAAAAAAAAAAAAAAATTGGCACCACTAGTAATGTAGTAATTAGCTGTCACTATCACAAACCAAACTGCCCAACTCTCCTGAGACACTTAAGGTAAACAAACGTCTAACCTTTTCTCTTCATTTCATGATCACCTATTTCTCCTAGGTGAAAGAAGCACTTGTATTTAACTAAAACTTTGCCCTATAAAGCAACACAAATCCCAAGTGTGGATGTTGAAACAGGAGCCTTGATCTCAATTAGTTGTGACAACTCCATAATCCTAACCCAAATTCTAGTCCTCCAAATGCCAACCTTCCTCTTATACTAGGACAAATTTGAATTATATGAGGTCTTTCAAAAATAGAAAAGATGAGATGGAAATAGGAAACGACAGCATAAAATACTATTCAAACACTGGCAAGGCAAACCTTTAATCTCTGACACAGCACTATCCTAGCCTCGTTTTGGGGAGAAACTACCCTCCTAGTCACTGGCTGGCAGATGAATTGGCCTGGCACATGGAAGAGACTCAAAGTATCTGTGAAACGGGAGAATCAAATCTAGTGATGTACTTGCAAGAACATACAGACCCAGCTCCACCTACAATTCTGAGGGTGACAAAGGGTTAAGAACTGACCATCACAACATCTAGAGCTTCTAACAGCACAAGATTCAGCTCCAGGCACACAAACCTGGGCCCATGGCCACAATTCTAAGTGCCCCCACCCCCTGAGACAGAGCAAGAAGATAGGTTATGGTCACATTGTTACCACTTTAGGTCAGGCATGGAGGCACAAGCCTATAATCCCAGCACTTGGGAGGCTGAGGCAGGAGAACTGCTGTGAGTTCGAGGCCAGCCTGGGCTGCACAGTGAGACTCTCAAAAACAAAAAACAAAACAACAACAGAAAAAACCTGACCTTGTACTTGACAATTCCTGACAAGCAGCACGCCCCCTGCCCCATCTCAAGGTTTTAGTAAAATCTAAGAGTAGCTTATTTCTACCTTTCCTTGTTGACATTAAGAGAAAAGAGGGAGAGGCTTGTTCAAGTAAGATACACTTACCCTCAAATTTAGTCAGCTCCTGGATAAATTACTTTACCCCTGGCAGGGTTGTAAAGGTGAAATCAAACAGCTCATGTGAAAATACAGTACCAAGCATATATGGTGGTCAGTTTCTGATCTACTGATCTACGGCCCTAGCATACACTTTTGGATTTTCTACCTCAACATCTACCCACACCGTTCCCTTTCCTGGCAGGTTCTTGTCCTCTCTAATCTCCACGTCTGCACTCTCACAAAACTAAGTTGATCTAGGCCAGTGATGGCAAACCTTTTAGAGCTTCCAATGATACAAAGAGCCCGTTACGGCATGCATGCCATAGGTTCGCCACCACTCATTTAGGGTCCCTCTGGTGACAGGCCCTTTATAGAGGCTGATCCTTCTACCTGAGATACTCCCCTCTAACCTGTATTTCCTACTCTTGTCTCTGGGCACCAACCCCTGATAGGTCAACTGCCTTCAACACCCTTCTCCTTCACTGTAAAGCAACTTTGATAAAATTTGATGACTGCTTCTCTCCTTAATTAAGCTGCAAAATTCAAGAGGAAGGAGAATGTTTGATTGTTGTCTATCAAGTTACCCCACAATCTAGCAGAGCATCTGACCAATGAAACCCCACAATAATTCTACAAAACAAGCAAAACTTCAATATTCACTATTGTTTTCTTTATAGCATCTAAAATGAAGATAAGTATGCTACCTAAAGCAGAATGGTTAAGTAATGGTACATGAAGTGGGATGACAAACAATCACCGAAAAGATGACACTTGACGGATGACAGGAGGGAGGAATGTTCAGACCTGTACTTGAGTGAAAAGAGCAGAAAATAACACTCCCTAGCTACAGCGAGACTGAAACTATGTAGAGGTGAATGTGTGAACAAAAAGGATTATGGATAGTGTTTATTCCTGAAAACATGTACTAATTTTGTAGCACATTTTTTACTGTGACTATTTATTATTTGATAAGAAGTATTTCTAAAAACTACAAGGTATTAGCCCAAATGCAACCCTCCTCAAAAGACTTCTATACTATACTTCCCACCTTGGGCTCAAATAATCCATCTACCTCCTTACTGAGATTTGGGGGGCAGCGGAGAAATCTTTGATAATAAGGACTTGTCATCCACCCTGCATTTCTCCCCAGCTCCCTGGGACTCAAAACACAGAACCCAGTCTGGTAAGTGTGCATGCAGAACAAAAAGAGATCACTCACCTAGTTTAAAAACACCCAAGATGTTCAGCCCTGAATTTTAAGCAGCACATGTGACCCGGTCCATTCTGGTTTCAAGTTCAAAGGCATCAGGCCGGTCCTGTGGGTTAGCAGCTAACATATCTTTCAAGAGCTGCTTGATCCCCTCAGACATGGAAGTCCTACGTTTCTGGGGGATGTGCAACTCCATCTTTGGGTTTTCTAGCAGTGCCTCACCAACAGGTACGATCTCAGTTCCCTGTTTAATGTAGGTCCCCAGGAGCTCTTTCTTGGTCTCAGAGTCAATGAAAGTGATTCTCTCTATCATTGCCCAGATGATAATACCCAGGGCAAAGATGTCCGCCTTGGCTGTGTAGTGTCCCTCCCAGACCTCAGGGGCCATGTAGAAGTCTGAACCACAGGCTGAGGACAGCCAGTACTTATTCACATTCACATTTTTGTTGTCTTGATTGCCCTCTTTGCCTCGAGGTGCCAGCCCAGCACAGACTTTGCTCAGTCCAAAGTCTGCCACTTTGAGGATGGGGGTGCCAGACCGCTCTGTGATGAGGATGTTGTCTGGCTTTAGGTCCCTGTGCACGATGTGGTTTTTGTGCAGAAAGGCAATGGCGCTCGTGAGCTGTAGCATGAAGCTTTTGTTGGTGGCTGGGTCTGGCCTCCGGGACAGGACGTACTGATTCAGGTCTCCACCTTCACAGAATTCCATGACAAACCAGAGATAGCAGGGCTCTTCAGCGTAGCCCAGGATCCTTTCTCCTAAATCAAAGGAGGACAGGAAAGAGCCTGAGTGAGATGGACACATTCACATCACTTTTGTACTTTGTACTTTTTTTTAATGTAATGCAAAGAAAGGTACTTATACTAAGGAATGACAGTAGTGACAAATAATTGCTCCAAAACAACTTGTAAAACTGACAACGAGCCAATTCCATAGATGCAGGTACATTTCTACCAACACAGGACAAGTGAAGGTATAACACAGTCATTGTGACTGGTGTCAATCACCTGGGGGTTGGAATTAAAAGGCCTGGGTATGAACTCAGGTTTACTGCCATCTGGTTGGCCATCAGATCATTTTGTTTCTTTACACTTGCCTGCCATCAGGGAGCATCATTCCACCCATACTTCCCAAGGCTGCTGGGAAGATGAACAGGTACAGTATGAGAGAAGGCTGTCAAATGTCTCGTGCTTCTATTAGGACTGTTACTTCCTGCCAGACAAATGACCTTCTCTCTTCTTTCCTGACCTGTTTAAAAATTCTTATTAATACACGTGGAATGGCATTTTAACATCATTTCAGCATACCCCCTGCTAGCACACGGCATGCCTAACACAAGTCAGGAAAGTAGCATGCCCTCAGCATTATGAGGCTTAGTTTGGAGGAGGTGGCAGGTATCTGCCAAAGCAACCCTCATAAGCCAAACACAGGCAGCAAGAAGGTGGGCAGGAGTCTCCAGGTCTGAAGCGGTCATAAGGGGCAGGATCTGACTTACTTTAAAGAACAGGCAAATCAGGAGTGGGGAGCAACAAGGGAACACCAGACTGAAAGGGAATAGATAATGGGGTACTCGGACAAATGGACCAGGAAGGTGTAAATAAGAAGTCCAATGGGAACAGTAGCATTTGAAGTAGATACATAAAGTGAATTGAGTTATGTGGACTCAAAACCAGGAAAACTGGTGCCTGGCCTCTCTGAGCAAATCCCAATATTCCCTTCAAAGCAACTGCTGCCACACTGAGCCCTTAGTTGGAAGTTATTGATGACAGCTGACCCTAGAGCTAAGTCTAAGCAGGCAGACGCCTTATCCTCTAATGAAAAGGACAACATGCAAGTGAAGGAACTTGCCTTGAGTGATCATACTGGACATGTGTAACTGGGCCAGGGTCTGAAAACAAGTTCTCTGCTTCCCAGCAAGGTATATTCATTCTTCCAAAGACAAGGGCCTTATCTGCTCAGAGAGCCTCTGGTGCCATCATTTACTCTGCAGTACCTTCTTGTAAAGAAAATCAGGGCCTCCAGGTAACTCCCTGCTACCACAAATGGCCCAGAAATGACCAACGCACACTGTCGCAAAGCTAGAGGCTTGGGAGTTTCAGGTTCAGCCAACAAAAGCTGAACAAAAGCTTCAGGTTTTTTTTAAAAATCACAATCTGATAGACTTACTTCCCCTACAATTATATAAGTTACTTGTTCATAGTACTCATAATCAAAGTGACACAGGTAGAACCAGTTTTAGATGGCTTTTTTTAAAGATCAGTTGTCTCCCCTCTTCTGATCCTCTTTCTAGGTCACTGGCAGGCGGGCTGAGGCTCTTTACCTAAAAACACTGCAAAAGGAAGCAGTAATCCAAAGACCAAACCCACCTAGGTTCTAGTTAAAGACAGAAGAAAAAACAGCAATCTTGTTTCCTGGTGGTACAGCCAGGAAAGAAAAGATTTAAAAACCATCGATTCCTTCTGCAAAAGGCACATTAGAAAATAATGAAACTTCTAGTGGGAGAATAAAGGGTGGGGACTGATGATTATTTTATATACAAAGTTGGTATGGAAACTGAAAGAAAAAAGAAAAGTCCTCCGAGTAGACTATCATGCAGACCTATAAAAAGTAGGAAAAAAATGCCCCAAGTTAGTGCTGGGGGTGGGGGAGAGATGGGACCCTTGAACCGAGAAGCCTGCTCTGAGGAAGTGAGCTGAGCGTGAGCGGTGGAGGAGAATACCAGGTAGGAAGAAGCATTCTGGGGATCTGATGTGTCAAATTCTTGGTTCAGAGGAAAACATGACGGAAGATGCCTAGAACCCTGGGCAAGTCCCTTAACCTGAGTGGCTCAGTCCCATCTACCAAATTTGAGGTTGACATCTATGCAACAAGATCACTGTGAATTAAGTATAGGTACTTTGGGAATTGGGTACTGGTCATCACTAGTATCTTCATTGCCACAAGACCCCAACCAGATCCTCAGAGGTCAGATTTCAGTAATCCCAGTGCTGAGAATAAAGTCTTCACATGTTATGCAAAAGACAAAATTTACCTCAGAAAAAGACCATAGATGATTCCACAGAAAACATCAAACTTAGGTGATAATGGTAAAATCCTATAGGTTACAAAGCCCCATCTCTTGAAAAATTTGTAGTAGCCAAATCTTGGAAACAACCCAAGTACCCATCAACTCGTAAATGGATAAAGATGTGTTTTTTTATACAGAAGAGTACTACTCTGCCATAAAGAAGGATACGCTTCAGGCATTTTTAGGAAATGGATGCACCTTGAATCCATACTCCTAAGTGAAATAAATTGGATACAAACGTGTGAATACTGCATTGTTTCTCTGGTGTGAGAAACCGAAAGTGTAAATAAAGAAGGACCAAAATGTATTTTGAAATAGGAGGAAAATGTTCAGATGGGGAGGAGAACAAGAGAGGGGAAGGAGAAAGAAGAGAAGAATAGAAACAAGAAGGAAAACATGGAAACAAAGCTTTGTAAATGGGGAGAAGAGGGGTTGAAGGGAGGGTAGGGGAATGGGAAAAAACCAAGTTATATCATGTATATAAATTCTCTATGATGAATGTGATCGTTATGTATAACTAAAATGTACCAATAAAATCTAATGTTAAAAAAAAAAAAAAAAAAGGAAAAAATGTGTGCCAAAGTTGGTAACTATGGCCCCCAAATTAGCCTTCACAGGCAAATTCTTAATGTACGCCATTTTCATCCCAGCTTGAGAGCTACCCTACTTCATACCTGCCCTATGTCCCAGGTAACTTCTCTGTTCTAACCGGCCAAGGTCCCAGTCTTAAATTTCTATTTTAGTTTGTATTAAGTTATACCAACTATTCTGGCTTGTAACCCATAGCATGACTCATGCATTTCACCATGAGGAAGGCCAGCACATTTTGCAAAAGTTGCGGGAGGGATAGATTTCTCAGTACTCCAGCCCTGCTGGAGGGACCTGCAGACATTAGAAAGTATGCTAGCTCTAGGAAGTTGGAAAGGGGAACAGTTAACCACTGGTCATCACTGAACATTAGCTCATAAATGACCCTAATCTATGCAGACTCAAATGCTACAGCAGTCTCTCAGTCAGAGCAGGGCTGATGGAGGGCCAGCGATTGACAGGGTTTAGGCTCAGGCCCATTTCACACACAGTCCAGTGTGTCCCTGCTCCAGCCCTGTAGTTATTTCCCTGCTTGCTGCATGTGCAGTGGCACCTCAGTTCACAAACTCAACTCTCTCCATGACTGTGGTTGTAAACCAAACTGGGTAAGAACTAAATCAAATTGCCCCATAGAGTTAACACTGAACCTCACCATTGAATTTTTTTGCTTGTTTATTTTTTGAGAGAAGGTCTCCTATGCAGCCCAGGCTGGCCTTGAACTTGAGGAGATCCTTCTGCCTTGGTCTCTTGGGTGCTGAGATTACAGGTGTGCACCACCATGTCCAGATATAATCATCGAATTTGCTTTGGTTCTCGTCCAACTCTGTTTAGGACCAGAATCATGGAAAGACTCAAGTTTGTGAACCCAGGTACCGCTGTACAAGTGGAACAGAGACATGTAACAATTACAAGAACCCCACATGAAATTTAGCATTGTGAAGTGAACATAGGCTTTCATAATTCCTTTTTATGGAATAATCGGACGGTTTTACAAGATTATTGCATTATAAGAGTAAAAAATTCAGTTTCCTTTGGAGAAAACACTGGCAGTGTTACTTGGTAGTGACAAGAACTTGAGGAGATGAACCTGACAGCTCAGTGGATGCTGTTTCACAGATGGGAAGCTTCAAGTGAGAAAGGCCTAGTAATCTGCCTAAGAACACAGCCCTAGTGGGTGGGAAGGACCTGGGCCTCCACAGCCAAGTCCTGCTGCTCCCAGTCTACACACACTGCTGATTAAAGGGAGGAGGGCACACGCTGGGATAGTCCTACTACTTCCCCTCAAGTCTGACCACAAGATAAATTCTGTACTTTAAAACATCCTATTCCATCATTCATAGGGAGACAGAGAAAACGCTAAAACAAACACCCTCTGTAACAAACCAAGTAGGTATCTCCCATCATCAGTATTGATGGTTAAATAAGGAGTGAAATCCAATAAAATGTGGCCTGCTTTACTGACAAAGTGTGGCCAGTAGGCTCTGCATGCAGGCAGAGGTATGAACTTGGCAAAGACAGTCACCTCCTGGAAAGGGACACAAAATACCCTAGATTTCTTAAGCCTTTCTTAAGTTAGAGTCTAGCTTCTAGCTTATTCCATTCATTTCCTGAGCACATGTTGCTTATCCCAGGTCCCAGAGGTGAGATGAGCTAAGAAGCAAAAGCTTCTGGTTACGAGAAACAGAATAACTGTAGCCACAGGTCTGGGGTGAGGGCCCAGTTCTACCTGAGTAGGGGACAGGAGAGGAGAGAAAGGCAGGGTAGGGATTGCAAGAGGCCATTCAGTTGCGCCTCCAAGATGAGGACATACAGTGAACCAGGGTCCCAAGGAGCCTAGGGGATCACAGAGCAGATGCAGGGGATGGGCAGAGTGAGGCTGGAGAAGGTCTAGGGCAGACTAAGAAATAGCAAGTAATTCAAAGTTCTTCATCTCTTTCAGAAAGCTGTACTGCTTATTGAATCTAACAAAATAATTTATTTTAGATATGCCACTGAAATAAACCTTTCAGACTGCTGATGATACTATGACCTACAATAAGTCAACTTCTGACTTCAGTGATGTTAATATGTGGAAGAGTGAGTCTCAGACAACCAGTGCAACAA